GCCACCACATCAGGGGCAGCAGCCGCGGCAGCAGTTGCAGGGTGATGGAGATGAGGAGAAGGAAGAGGAGGAGAGGTATGCGCCGCCATCGCGGCATCGTCTTCCCCCGGTCGCTCCCCTCCCCCTCCCCCTCCCCTTCCCCCACCGGTATCTGAGTCCGTCTCAAATGGCAACACTGGTTTCGGCGCTGGGTCGTGTGGAGCACTACGACTCGGACCTGATCGACGAGCTGTGTGGCCGGGTGGTGGAGGCGACGGGGGGCGGGCTGAGCAGCCTCACTCGGCGGGAGGTGTGACGGGGTAGGGGGGTGGTTGGGGGTGGTTGGGGGTTGATAGGGGGTGGTTGGGGGTTGGTATTGGGGTTTGACGGGTGAAGGGGTTGGATGGGAAGGGCGAAAATGTCGACAGTGTCGACGTGGAATGAGGGGCGCGCGCGCGTGTGTGTTTTGGTTGGGGAGGAGGCGGAGTTGGGGACAACGGAAGTAGCAGTGGGGCAGTGGGAGAGTAAGCCAGGTCGCCGTCACTGCCGTACGATGCGCTTCTAAGAACCAGCAGCAATATTATTTATTGATCCAAGCTCCTATCCGCCTCCTGGCGCCCGCTGCCGTAAGTTCGTGCGTATCTGTATACTCACTCGTATGCGCATATGTGTATTGCTGCATGTGTCGTACAGGTTGTCTCGGTGGTTTCGGCGCTGGGGCGACTGGAGCACGTGCACCCGGCCTTTCTCGCCCAGGTGGCGACCAGGGTGGCGGATGAGGCGGCGTCGTACAAGCCGGCGGAGCTTGTCGTACTTTTGTACGGGCTTGCTTCGACGGGTACAGGCGGGAAGGGGCTTGAAAGGTGCGGGCGCCGGCGGGACCTTCAATGGTGGCGAAAAAGAGGGGGGCGCTTCCGGAGTGCCCCCTTGCGTTGCACGTACGGCAAAAGATATCGGGGGCCCGCGTATTGCCCTAGTGGGGAGGAGGGTGTATGTGGGTATAGATAGGGGAGTGATGATGGTGGTGGTGGATGGGCATTCTGGCGTCGTACCGTGCGTCGTATCCATCTCGCCGACCAGTGCATGATCCCTGGCGCCTTCTGTACGACAACACCACCTTGCTAGTACGACTGCACCAAACCCTTTACCCCTCTCCCTTTCACCTCCCAGGCTGCTTCGTGCCGTCGGGCGGGTGTTGCAACGGCGGATTTCGGTTCTGGATCCGGAAGCGGTTGTACGGCTGGCGGAGTCGTATGCCGTACTGGACTCCCCCCACGATGGCCTGTTCCAGGTGCGCTACGGAGGATGGATGTCTTTATTCACAGCACTATTCGCCATGTGTGCGTATGTGTGTGTGTGTTTGTGTGTGTTTTGCATTGTTATTGTTGTCGTGGGTGGGTGGGGACATATTTCCGTACCTTACCTTCTCCAAGTAACGGTAACCCGATACTCCCTAAACCCTCCCCTCCCCCCCCCTCCCCTCCCCTCCGCTCCCCTCCACACGGGCCTCAGGCGGTGGCAGTGGTGGCCCTGTGCCGGCCGCAGCGGTTCTCGCTCCGCCAGATGGAACGAGTGGCCCTCGCCTTCAGGTGCGGATCGCTTGATGGAGGGGGGTGGGTGGGGGGCGGAGGGGGGCCGCCACTGAGCGCTTATTTGGGGTGCACTTACCTGTGTGTGCGTCTGTATGTGTATGTGTGTGTGTGCATGTAGCACGTGTGCGAAGCCTTTCATATATATAATGTGGGGGATCCCCCCGCATATACACACACACACACACACACACACACACACACACACACACAGCTACAGAGCATGCGCTCGGTGGAAGGGATTTTCCTATGGCATGTGAGCTGGTGTGTATGTAGCTGGCTAGAGGACTCGAACAGGTGACGGCGCCTTTCCTTTATAAGGGAGAGCAGTGAGGACTCTGACCGATATAACACCCCTCCAATGACGGACAGTGCTTCGGCGGCCGTTCCCATTGGGGTTAGGTACCCCCGTCAGGCCCGGGTCGATATGTAACAGATACATATACATACATGTATAGATGTGTGTCGACACACACAGCTATGTGTCTTTCACGCCATCTAGGCCTAGGGGTCATGCGCCACCTTCCTAACAAAAACACATTTGTTTCGCGTTTTGAGTAAGTGCCGATCCGGCACATTCACCCCACTCCACTTCACTCCACTCCACTTCACTCCACCCCACTCCACTCCACTTCACCCTACGGGGGGAGTATCGTACAGGTCCCTAGGGTACGACAACTCGGATGAGCTTGTGGACGGCTGGAGGCAGCAGCAGCGGCAGCAGCAAGGGGCATACGGGGGCCAGCAGCGACCTCGGCCCTGGTGGGGGCGACACCCCGCGGGCGGCAAGGACGCGACCACAGCCTAGTGCTAGCTAGGGGTACACGACACGTGGCGGCGGCGGCGGCCCCCAACGTAATGATGGTGATGATGATGATGATGATGACGATGATGATGACTTGACGACGAGCCGCAGAGATGGGTCGTACGACATCTACACAAGCCATTAGTCCGCTGGCGAGAATGGTACCGGGGACCTGTGCGCCCGCGGGGGATGTGAGCGCAGATGTGACCCCAACTCCCCCACCACCACCACCCCAACCCCGAAGAGCGATGTACGCGATCCCGCACTGACTGCTGTGGCCGCCGTAACCCCACTGTACCCCGCTGTACTCCACTAAATGGTGATGGTGGAGTGGTAATTCGGAGGCACACACACGCACATTCGGAGGCACAGCACACTCTCCGGCCACCACACTGCAGCAAAGCACACTGCAGGCTGGTGCTGTGTTTCTTTTCCCGGTGGGGTCAATGGTGCCACTGGGTGAGGTGAATGATATGAGGATGTTGATGTTGTTGGTGATGATGTGACCGCTCAGGAGTGTGCGCTCATACCGCTGCATAACGCCGTGCCCGCCCGAGGCGAAACGCGATCTTCATCATCATCTTTATCATCATCTTTATCATCATCTTCATCACCATCATCATCCCTTCAATGCTTAACATACATAATTATATGACGTTTAGTTCAGTTCAGTGGCAGCAACAGGATGGTGTTTGTACTGAGTGTGTGTAACTGGGCAAGACAGGACTGCAACGAATGTACTGTCGTACCATCTTGCCTTCACGTATGCCCTCCACTTCTTGGGTCTTTATCAGCGCTGAGGTGGTCGTTGGTGGTCCGGGAGGGGGAGAGGAGGAGCAGCAGGGGAGCCCTGCCTGAAAATGGGAAACCGGATGCCGTACATCTTGGCGCGTAGCCTGGTCGACTTGCGCCGACGACGTTTACTCTGTCTGTCAGTTTGTCCGTCCGCCCCTTTCTCCCTCGCTCCGTCCCTCCTTCCTCGCACATCTTCAGGGGACAGCACCAGCCGTCACAGCGGCCACACATCGTGAGACGCGTCATTCAAACAAACGTCCTGCTACCGCCGTCACCTCACTGTCGTGCATTTCGCTGTTCACTCCACCACAACTTCTACCACGCCTTGCTACTTATATACATACATATATACATATATATGTACATATGTACATATGTACATATATATGTATTGACCGATATATATATATATATCTTGGTCAATACAAGTCCAGAGGCTGAAACATGGGGTCACATGACAAGGGGGTTCCAGTCCCGGGTTGGCACTCCTGCTGCTGCTTCTCCTCGTCCTCGTCCCCTAGGTCCCCCAGGTCGATTTCCTCGGGGTTGGGGGGCAGCAGGGGAGCCGGGACCTCCGAGGCCGCGACTGGGCGCTGCTGCTGCGCCGCCCCGGGAGTCTGAGCCCCCTGCTGGTGTTGATGTTGCTGGAGGCCGGGAGGGCCGCCGCGGGCCGTCCACGACAGCGAGATGGGCGCTGCGGGGGAGAGGGCGGGGTGGAGGGGGAGAGGGGGGGAAGACGAACCACGAACGAGTGAACGGTGCTGCTGCTGTTGCTGGTGCACGAGGGAACGGAAGCATGTGGGAAAATGACAAGGGAAGACACAGCAGCAGCAGGAGGTGGAGGAGGAGGAGGAAGGGTAAAACGGAGACAAGGGCAAGCGAGGGGGCCCCTCCTGGAGGGGAGGAGACGAGGAACCGTGCGCGTACGGTACCGCGGGGTGCACCGGAGGGGTGGGGGCCAGGGAGCTGCAAAGGGGCGGAAGGGCCAGCGGGCCAGCGGGCCCCTGTCGTATCAAATGGTCCCGACGCCACCCACCCCGGCCTGACGGCGGAGCTCCCGCCACGTTGCCGCCACGCGTCGCCGCCGCCGCCGCCGCCGCCACCCCAATAGCAGCGGGTGACGCCGAGGCAACCCCCTTGCCGCCGGCGACGTCGCCGTGGTCGAGGTTGTACGGCAGGCCCAACATGTCCAACAAGGCCACTGTCTGCGCATGTGCGTGTTGTACGTGTATGTGTACGAGTTTGGGGTGGGGTGGGGGGGGGGGGGGGAGGAGATATTTGGACGGATGTTGCTACGGAGAGCTCTGCGGGGTGGTCGATTCCGGGAGGCGGCGACCCGCAGGCGCGACGCGTTGTTGCTGTCCAGGTTCAAACCAGGTGGCCAGACCCCCCACGTCCGCTCCTACTTCCCCCCTGCCATTCCTTCTCCACCGGCTCCGCACCCGGGCCCCCACACAGCAACACACGCACCTGCGGGTTTCGCACGTGCCGCGGCGGCATGCGGCCACGACGCTGCCCCGAAGCCAGGTTGTACGGCTCCGCCGTGATGACGAAATTGTCCGGCACTCGACTGGTGCCTCGCGCCGCCAAAACCTGCCGTACAAACTCAACGTCCTCTGGCCGCGGCCCGCTCCGCAGGGCGCCCATGCCTAACAGGCCGTACACACACATACATACACGCACACAAACTCGTACGGGCGGGGGCGGAAAGACAAATGGTATGGTATGGTATGGTATGGTATGGTATGGTATGGTATGGTATGGTATGGTATGGTATGGTATGGTATGGTATGGTATGGTATGGTATGATCCTCCCCCCCGACGCATTCCCCCTATCTGCCTCCTCGCACCTTCCCCCCCAACCCCCGACCCGTCCTACCGGGCAGTGGCGCGTGTTTAAAGGCCAGGTTGGTGTGGTGGTGTGTGGTTCTCAGTACGGCAAGCCACTCCTCGTCGTAGTGCAGCTCCGGCGGCCCAGGGGCATCCACCTCGATGACCTGACCGAGCAGCAACACAACACGTCGATGCAACATGCCGCCGCGTCGACAGATGACGGTTACATCAGTAGTGAGGTGAAGTGAGGTGAAGTGAGCCCCACCGCGAATAGAGGGAGAGCTAAGGCGGGTCACCCTTGTGGCTGGGACTGAATATGTTCATCAGATGGATGGGAAGAGAGAGGGTGAGGGAGAGAGAGAGAGAAGGGGAGAGAGGGAGAGAGGGAGAGAGAGGGGGGGAGATTCGGGCGATGAGGAGCAGTTTACTTCACGGAGAGATGAGAAGACTCTTTCAAATCCGAAAGCGACACTGCGGGGTGGCCTCAAAAAGGCCTAAAACCCTTAGTAGTTATTTGCCTCTCGTGCCAAAAGAACACACATCAGCATATACCTTGAATTGTACAGATTCAATACATGTACGACTGATGGGACGACACACCTACCTGCAGAAAGTCCCTGCCCGGCAAGCACTTGTCCAGGGCCAGAAAGCGAGTGGTGGGGAAGCCGCTGCCGCCCCGGGTGCTGCTGCTGCTGCTGCTGCTGGCACCATCGCCACCGCGGCCACCGCTACCCGGCTGCGGCGGCTGCGGTAGGGTTGCTTTGTTGGTGGTTGCGTTGCCGCCGCCGCTGCTGCTGCTGTTGACATCATGCTGTACAAGCGCTGCAAACTTGGTGTGCAGGTGCGCTGCGAACCAGTAGGCGGGCCTTAGTTCCGCCAGCAGCTGGGCGCCGGGGGGGCTGCCCAGCGTGCCGCTCTCCACCTCGGCGCGCAGAAAGGCCTGCGGTGATGGTGGTTATGCGGAGGGGGATGCAGACAACTTGGGCGGGAAGGGCGGGACGGAATCGAGAACGGGGAGAACATTATTATTTACGAACACGGAAAACACGTGCGCCACACAACATTCTGACCGCCTTCGGCCCTTCGTGGGGGGGAAGGGGTGGGAGGAGAAGGTGGCGGCTGCTACTCCTCAAGGAGGCTCACCTTCCTGGCCAGCAGCTGCGCCGTATTGCCGTACCGCGCAATGTTAGTTGGCCAGTCGTGCGACAGGAAGATGTCCACAGGTTGTTGCAGCTGCAGCAGCCTGTATACCTGACATCACGCCGACGAGGTGGAGGATGGGAGCAGGTGTTGACGAGAATGACAAAGACGAGGAGCTGGAGGAGGAGGGTGGAAAAAAACCGCAGCCACCGAGGCTCTTCGGGCACTGAAGCTACGGACCAGACCAGCCGCGGGAATTCAATGAACACGTGTTGGGCTGTGATGGGGGCCATGAGGGGGACAAGGGCAATCGTACTGCATACAAACCACAGATATAACACAAACCGACAGAGAGGCGGCCGGGGGGGCTGGAAGGGTGATATAGGAGGGGAAACGCGAAGCACGCAAGACACAACACCCCGGGCAGGGTGGCACTACATTCATGAAAACGCCATTCATCGTAAACTGCATCCGCAGGTGCATAGCACCCTACTCGTCGACACGGTTGTAACGGTCGCGGCAGTTGTAGCAGTTGTAGTGCCCGAGCCAGCTGCACGGCGCCGCCGCAGCAATAAAGCAACAGCGGCAGCAGCTAACCCCCCGGGCGGGGTCCCCCCTCCCCCTCAGCAGTCACCTCAAAGTCGCGGATATGGTAGAGGGAACGAATGGTGGATTCGTTGTACGGCAGACTCTCGTGGTGGCCGCGCGTGTAGTCGTGATGTTTGTAGATGCCGCTCAAACCCGCGATCCGCAGTCCCCCAAACCTGACCGACGACGACGGCGGCGGAGGTCAGGAGGGGGGTCAGGAGGACGCGGAGGAGAAGCCACAGCAGGGGGAGAGCACGTATCGCGACAGCTGTGGAGTGGCGGCAATGCTGGTAATGCTCCCCAGGCCAGCAGCATATGCTGGCCTAGATAGTTACTCAACGGTAACTATCCAATTAAATAATATCTTAGCAATTATGAGTGATGGGTAACACTTCACAGTAATAACTGACAACTAGCAACTGACATTGGCAAACCGGGCACGGGTGCGCTAGCTGTCGGTACGGCCCTGCTGGGAGCTAACCGACAACAGCTAACCACCACACCCTGCACAACCACCAGTCCAGCCGGGTTCCCAGTCCCTTCCCTGCCTGCGCCCTCCCACCCG